GAGTCTATGCTTTCTCCACTGCATTTGTATCACATTCCAAAAAACGAAGGGGGTGCCATTCTTTGGAGCAGCACCTGCTGCACAGGCTGTTGCCTCAGGTGCAGGCGTTCACAAGGTCACAGGTTTTCCCACCCTCCACTGCGCTCCAGGGCAACTTTAAACCCCTGTATTAGACTTCTTGTGTTGAATTCCTTGGTGTATTAAAAAGCGTTTCTTAAACCTCCAGTTTATTTACAATACAATATATTTTTGTAACCTAAAAAGCTCCAGCCTTCAGTTGTGTTTGAGAGAGAAGAGCTTCAATTTCCTCAAAGATCTTAAGACAAATGTTCAATATATATTTTGATTGATTTCAGAGAGGAAGTGAGAGGGAGAGAGAGAGAGAAACATCAGTGATGAAAGAGAATCATTGATCACCTGCCTTCTGTATGCCCCACACTGGGGATCGAGCCTGCAACCCCAGCATGTATCCTAGACCATAATCGAACCTGGGACCCATCAGTCCACAGGCCAATGCTCTATCCACTAAGCCAAAATGGCCAGAGCTAAAATAAAAATTTTAATAAATTGATTTTTAAAAATGGTATGGGGTTGCCAGGACCATTCAATAGGGAAAGGGTGGCCTTTTCAACAAATGTTGATATTAGATATCCACATACAGAAGAATGAAGTTATAACCTTACTTTATACCATGTGCAAATTATTAACACAAAATGCATCAGAGACCCAAATATGAGCTAAAACTACAAAACTTTAGATGAGGACACGAAGGAAGAGACTTACTGGATATTGATATTGGACCTAGTAATATTTTTTTGATATGACATCAAGCAACCAAAGAAAAAATAGATAAATCAAACTTCATTGAAATTAAAAAACATTGCCATCTAGCCGGTTTGGCTCAGTGGATAGAGCCTCAGCCTTCGGACTGAAGGATTCCAGGTTCAATTTCGTCAAGGGCATGTACCTTGGTTGAGGGCACATCCCCAGGAGGGGGTGTGCAGGAGGCAGTTGATCCATGTTTCTCTCTCATTGATGTTTCTAACTCTATCCCTCTCCCTTCTTCTCTGTAAAAAATCAATAAAATATATTTTTTAAAAAGAAATAAAAAAACATTTGTGCAGTAGAAGACATTACCAATACAATGCAAAGGCAACTCATAGAATTTGAAAAAATGTTTGCAAATCATATCAGATGGCAACTCCATGCAATGCTGGTAGAAATGTAAAATGGTGCAGCCGCTGAGGAAAACATAGAAAAAGATTCATATGTAGCAATTCTATTTTTTAATATGTACATATACACAGAATTGTAAACAGGACCTCAAACGTTTGTACTACACCATCAATTGCAGCAGCATTATTCAAAATAGTAAAATGTGGACATAACTCACATGTCTATTCAGGCATGAATTTTTGTTTCTCTAAACTAAACATGGTACATTCATACAATGGAATTCAACTTTAAGAAAAGAAAATTTTGACACACGCTACACCATGGATGAGCCTTGAAAATATTACATTAAATGAAATAGCAAGGCACAAAAGGACAACTATTACGTAACCCCACTTATATGAGGTACCCAGTGTGAAGGGGAAAAAAGGGTGATCTGATCATAAATCCCTAATGTGCAGATCAAGGTGGGTAGTCATGCCCGAGGCCTATAATTTCTTTGGTGAACGGTTTTAAGTCCACCCTGTGCATTGTTCTTGTGTACCTAGGTCACACACCTTTGAAATGCCAGAAGCAATACCTCTCCAAGGGGGTGTTAACCCTCAAGAGAGCACAATATCTTAACTATCCTGTAATCCTATCCCCGCCAATCTTTCTCCAATCTTCCTTACTTTTCTCCTTAATTTCAAATTCGTAAAAGAAACTGCAGGTCTGGCTGTTGTGGCTCAGTTGGTTGCAGAGTCATCCAGTGCACCCTAGGGCTGTGGGATCCATTTCTGGTCAGGGTACATACCCAGGTTGTGGGTTCCATCCCCAGTCCGGGCGTGTATGGGAGGCAACCGACAGATGTTTCTCGCATTGATGTTTCCTGTTTCTCAAATCAATAAAAATGTCCTCAGGTCAGGATTAAAAACAACAACTGCAGAACTGTCACTCTCTGGAGCATTTCAGATCTTGCTGTGTGGCATACGTGGTCAGTTTGGTTCAAATAAACTCAGAGAAGTTCTCTACAGTTTTGCACGTTCCTTTTGTCAATAATAGAGTACAGTAGTCATATTTATAGAGACAGGAAGTAGAATGTTGGTTGCCAGGGGCTTGGGGAGGGAGGAATGCAGAGTTATTGTTCAATGAGTATAGAGTTTCAGTTTGGGAAGATGAAAAGTTCTGAACATGGACAATGGTGATGGCTGGACAACAATGTGAATGAACTTAGTGCCACTAAACTCTACACTTAAAA